CAAATTAGCCTAGAGACTAGGACTAACCTTACAGTGGAGGTTTATCTTATGAATTTCAATGATTTTTTTGAGTTATCCATGCCCCAAAGAGCACATTAAAATCTTTTCTCTGTGGAAAACCTATAATTTTTCACTCTTTCGTACTCATGAATGGTTGAACAGAAGTTAAAAGTTCCCCCAAACAACAACATTGGGTTTAGCGTAATAATTGTAAATTCAGCTAAAATAAAAACGACAGCTAACGTGAGCATACAAATAGAGAGGGGTATTACAAAGTGTAACCTCCATAACAGTTCTTGCTCTTGGTCACATTTACATGAATAAATATTGATTGCTTCTAATGCCAGTAGCAATAAAATGTTGCCCAAAGTGGAGTATGGTTCTATAGATTGTGCTACATTGCTCAGAGCCTTTGGCTATTTCTAATGGAAGGCATTTGAATGCTATTTCCTCGTTGGTTGCTTTGTATTTATTTTTCCGAAGATGGGAAATTTTTTCTCATTGTCCAAATTACCAACAGGGAATGTCTTTGCTTCCCTTCATGAGAACATGAACTTTAGCAATGCTTTTGATATGGTCTCCCACAGTATTCTTGCCAGCAAGTTAAGGAAGTATGGATTGGATAAATGGACTGAAAGGCGGATAGAAGTCTGTCTGGGTTGTTGGGTTCAGTGGGTAGTGATCAATGGTTTGATGTCTGGCTGGTGGCTATATCAAGTGGAGTACCCCAAAGATCATCATCTTCATTAATGACCTGGATGAGGGGAGGGGTTGCACCCTCAGCAGGTTTGCAGATGACACTAAGCTAGAGGGAGAGGTAGATATGCTGAAGGGTAGGGACAGAGTCCAGAGTTACATAGACAAATTGGAAGACTGGGCCAAAAGAAATCTGATGAGTTTCAACAAGGACAAATGCAGAGTCCTGCACTTGGGATGGAAGAATCCCAAGCACTGCTATAGGCTGGGGACTGACTGCCTAAGCAGTAGTTGTGCAGAAAAGGACCTGGGGATTACAGCAGATGAGAAGCTGGATATGAGTCAGCAATGTGCCCTGGTAGCCAAGAATGCTAATGGCATATTAGGGTGCATTAATAGGAGCATGACTAGCAGATCAATGGAAGTGATTATTCTTAGCATTGCCAGCAGATTTAGGAAAGTGATTATTCCCCTTTATTCGACACTGGTGAGGCCACATCTGGAGTATTGCATCCAATTCTGGGGTCCCTATTACAGAAAGGATGTAGTCGCTTTGGGGAGAGTCCAGTGGAGGGCAACAAAAATGATGAGGGGGCTAGAGCGCATGACTTACAAGGAGAGGCTGAGGGACTTGGGCTTATTTAGTCTACAGAAGAGAAGAGTGAGGGGGGATTTGATAGCAGCTTTCAACTACCTGAAGGGGGGTTCCAAAGAGGATGGAGAGAGGCTGTTCTCAGTAGTGGTAAATGACAGAACGAGGAGCAATGGTCTCACGTTGCAGTGGAGGTGGTCTAGGTTGTATGTTAGGAAAAACTATTTCCCTAGGAGGGCGGTGAAGAACTGGAATGGGTTATCTAGGGAGGTGGTGGAATCTCCATTCCTAGAAGTTTTTAAGTTCCGGCTTGCAAAGCCCTGACTGGGATGATTTAGTTGGGGTTGGTCCTGCTTTTAGCATGGAGTTGGATTCAATGACGTGCTGAGATCTCTTCCAAGCCTATGATTCTATGATTTCTCCAAGGAAGGGGTGAGCTCTGGTACCCTAGAGCCAAATTTCAAAGAAAAGGAGTAGTGTATGGAGGGTGTATGCAATGATGTGTGGGATGAGGGGAGGGGGAGATTAGATGTCTCTGCAAAGAATCAGGCTGGAAAAGTGGAGGAAAAATTGGAGCGTTTTATGCCCGTTCTCAATCTCTTTAAGACTGAGATGATCTGTCTCTGGGGTGAAATCTTGCAGGTTGCTGACTGCTGACCATTTTGCCAGTAGGCTGCTTACCACATCTGGAGAGCATAGGTTGGCTAATTCTTTTCTCCCATCTTGGCCATCTCTTTCCCAGGCAGAACATCTTATAGTTTGAATGCCTGAGCACGTCAGAAGTATCAGATGACAACTTGACTATACTATTGGCCTCCCTAGGTCAACTATAGTCTACCAGGTGAAGGCAAGAGATGATAATTAATTTGGATGTCATTACTTTGGGTTTCTTAAAAAAGATATTTAAGAGTGTGTGTATAGTCACAATATCTCAGTGGGTCACAGCTAAAAATATTAGATTTAGGAGAAATTACTGAGAAATAGGACCAATTCACCCCAAACTAATGGTTATTTTATCATTAGATTATACCAAGCCAGTAATAAAAGCACACTAGTTAACGGAAAGACAAAGGTGTATCATAGAATCATAGAATACTAGGATTCGAAGGGACCTCGAGAGGTCATCGAGTCCAGTCCCCTGCCCTTATGGCAGGACCAAATATTGTCTAGACCATCCCTGATAGACATTTATCTAACCTACTGTTAAATATCTCCAGAGATGGGGATACCACAACCTCCCTGGGCAATTTATTCCAGTGTTTGACCACCCTGACAGTTAGGAATTTTTTCATAATGTCCAATCTAAACCTCCGTTGCTGCAGTTTAAGCCCGTTGCTTCTTGTTCTATCCTCAGAGGCCAAGATGAACAAGTTTTCTCCCTCCTCCTTATGACACCCTTTTAGATACCTGAAAACTTCTATCATGTCCCCCCTCAATCTTCTCTTTTCTAAACTAAACAAACCCAGTTCCTTCAGCCTTCCCTCATAAGTCATGTTCTCTAGACCTTTAATCATTGTCGTTGATCTTTTCTGGACCCTCTCCAATTTTTCCACATCTTTCTTGAAATGCAGTGCCCAGAACTGGACACAATACTCCAACTGAGGCCTAACCAGCGCAGAGTAGAGCGGAAGAATGACTTTTCGTGTCTTGCTCACAACACACCTGTTAATACATCCCAGAATCATGTTTGCCTTCTTTGCAACAGCATCATACTGCTGACTCATATTTAACTTGTGGTCCGCTATAACCCCTAGATCCCTTTCTGCCGTACTCCTTCCCAGACCGTCGCTTCCCATTCTGTATGTGTGAAACGGATTGGTTCTTCCTAAGTGGAGCACTTTGCATTTGTCTTTATTAAACTTCATCCTATTTATCTCAGACCATTTCTCCAATTTTTCCAGGTCATTTTGAATTATGACCCTATCCTCCAGATTAGCCGCAATCCCTCCCAGCTTGGTATCATCTGCAAATTTAATAAGCGTACTTTCTATACCAGTATCTAAATAGTTGATGAAGATATTGAACAGAGCTGGTCCCAAAACAGACCACCGCGGAACCCCACTTGTTATGTATTCTGCTTAGGCATTCCAGCGCTTATCTCAAAACCCAAGCACTGGGCTTTATGATAAGCAGTTATTGAAAACCAGTTTCCTTATATATAGTGTCTTCTAATCCCAAGAGATCAGCCCTATATCGAGATCTATATATAATTCAGATATTACATGATAATCAAGGTAACTGGCAAGGCTGCCAGGCATTTAGTAACTAAAATTTAAAGGTTTATTAATAAAGGAGAGATGGTTAATGGTGATAGTTCATATGCATAAAAATAATTGCAAACTCCTTATATAAGGTTAGCAGCAGTGATGGTCTAGACTACCAGTTTGTACAGTCTCTCTGGTAACTTCCAAAAGATTGAAAGATCCTTAGTCCATAGTTCAAAATGCTCTTTTTGGTTGTAAATCCACAACAAGAGAATCAGGGCTGGAAAGAAGCAATACAGAGATATCTCAAGGCTCTTTTAAATTCTTTGCCATTTGCCTGGAAATGTACTGTCTCAAACAGAGCTCACAGCCCAGTTTGTGCAAAGTTACTGACGGAAGATGGGTTCTGGGATCACATGAGCATATCTCATGTTCTTACGTGGTTTCATGAATCACTGGGGGTCACCACTGGCCCCTGAAAGACTGAGGCATCTGCAGGGATGAGGTTCTTCTATGGCCCCTCATGAGAGGCAAGTGTCTTTGATGGACCATCAACACAAAGCTGTCTAGCCTTGATGTAAATCTTATCTGGTGAGTGTTATCCAGGAATACCACATGTATAAAATATAAATTCATGGCCACTATTCGTACAGAGATGATACATACATATAACCAGGATAATCATAACTGATAGATTGTAACTTTTCCGTTGACAACTTACATGACATATTTTGTACAAGATTTGTTGCAGTTGTATACCGGTGGGTATTTCAATCACAGTTTCACAGGAATATGTACTTGTATGAAAGCAATATATGTTATTAAATTATTGACGCCTTTCCTGAAAGCTGGCACTTTGCTTTCCAAAGGACTATAGCTTTTCCAAGGGAATTGAGGGGATAGTGGTACTGAGGGCAATTGTTCTGGGGTCTGATGATTGCAAAAGGCCCAGGCCTCAAGACCACTGATGTCAGTACCATGGCAGCAGTGACAGCTGGTGGTCCGGACCCTTTAAATCACCACTGGAGCCTGGGAAGCACTGAAAACTGGCTTGGGGAGGCATGGCATGGTCCAGGTAGCACTTAAGATTGGCTTCCCTAAGCCACGCCCCTTTTGCTCAAGGCCACACCCTTTCTGGGGGCCCAGATCCTAGCTCCTGTGCCCCCACATAAATACACACATTGCCCATGGCTGAGAAATCTGTCAGTCTGTCACCAGCCCTGACTACAATTGCATGTGTCTAGTTCATTAAAAGTGAATCTTTGTTGTAAGAGGACCATTCTCTTTTCTACTAAGCACAATTCTGGATGCAGATGTGTATCATCTCATAGCTTTAAAAAGTACTGTTCCTTGCCATGAATGCAGCACTGCAGTAGTTGATTTTTCAGCCATTGATTGATACATATCTTGGAACATGACCGTAAAAGCGAACTCTGTGTTTACAAGTACTGTAATTTCCATAGCTATTAATTGTTTAATTGTTTCCCTTTGTTTGGTTGATTTCCTAGGGCCTCTGTGCTCAGACTTTCTATGGTCACCTGCATTCCTGTAACCATGCGACATTCAACATGAAGGTAAGTCCTGTGCAGAAAGGATGTATTTCTCATGTAGCAAATTCCAAAGCCAGAAGGGACCATGTGACCATCTAATTTGACCCCCTGAATTACACAGGCCTTACACTTTCTCCAAAATAATTCCTCTTTGAATTAGAGTATATCTCTTAGAAAAAGAACATCCAATCTTGATCTTATTTGTTATTTGTTCCTCCTTTTTTAAACAGACATCATGAGCAGGTGTTTCTCCCTCATGAAATTGCCATTCCTGTAGGAATGTCTCTTGATCCTATGACAGTTCATGGGGACACACGTACTCACTACAATAATGTTCTATTAGCTTAGCGAGGTGATGTTTCCTGCTGGCTCGTAGTCATTTCCTTGATAGCTAGTTTTGCTGTTGTCTATGAAGGTTATTCTGGCTCACGTTGGGTTAGATTAGTGATAGATTTCAGGGATAGAATGTGAATAAATGGCAGATCTGAAGAAAGTGTGGGTCTTCATGACCGAACTTCAAGGGAGAATAAAATGTTTCTCACAGACCAGCACAATAAGTGCTTACAGGACCCCAATCCAAAGCCCGTTGAAGTTTGTGTAATCCCTTTGATTTCAAAGGCCCAAATCAGGCCCACAATGCTTGTGAGAAGGGTACTTAGCCTATAAAGCTTGAACTTCTAAGACACAAGCTCCAACCCTGGAACAATCCTTGTTTTTCTATTGGAGTACATCTACACAGCAGGGCTAACATTGAATTAAGCTACTCAACTTTAGCTGTGTCAATTGCTGAAGTCAAAATAGCTTAATTCGGCTTTTGATGCTGTCTATACAGCAGGAAGTCAAAGGAAGAACACTCTTCCTCCGACTTCCCTTATTCCTTATGAAAGGAGGGTTACAGGTGTTGGAGTAAAAAGTCCTCCAGCTTGACAGTATTTTGACATTATTTCAAAATAACTACTTGCTGTGTAGATGTGGACTATGTTATTTCAAAATAACACTAGTTATTTCAAAACAATGGTGCTGTGTAGACATGCCCTGAGAATCTCCAAAATCTTCCATTAATGGAGTGGAGTAGGACAAGGTACAATAGTGATCCTCCTTGCTTCAAAAAGGGTTTCCCTTGCATGTGGCATGGGGGGAATAACGGGCATCTGATTCCAGCTTCCGGTAAACCTCATTGCACGAGGAATAAGGAAGATGCCGGAATAACGCTCTACTTCAAAATTTGGCATGGTCTAGTCAGTGCCAAATCTCATAATAAGCTCAAAATAAGCTATGCAATTTGCATAGCTTATCTTCTCATATGACCTAGTAATGTCCTGGTTTTGGGAATATGAACTCCCATGGACTTCCTCCTGATCTGTATTTTATTTCAAATGATGCCCATATTGGACAATTACTATTCATCTCCCTTTGTATTTTGCAGCATGATGGCCTAGAAAAGAAAGAATATAACTATTTTTTGTAATTATAATGGTGAATAATGGGTTCATCGTAATAAGCAAAGGTGCAAATTGGCTTTTATGCTGAGCACGCATTAAAGGACTCTTCTCTCCAGGGCAGAACATCCTACTTGGTCTAAAACAATTAACAGGAAGGCAGAGGACGGTGTACGGATAATCTTCCCAATAAGCATGTTATTTTGATAAAAAATATTACAGCTGGCATTCAACTCTAGACTGAAATCATTGGTTGACATTCTCAATGATTGAATTAGTAAAGATGGAAACAGCCAGTGTAGTATTGATTGAACTGAGGCAGGAGTGTAATTTCAGATGTGATAATTACAGTTATATAAATGAATTGTACGTACACAGAAGGCAAGGCACCCGAACCTGAGGTGTACATGTTTCAGTTGTCTGGCCAGCATAGCTAGGACAACGAATCAATTAGAAATAGTAATGAACAAATATTTTCTAAATCTTTTGCTGTGGGATACCCACTGAAAGATTTAAGTATTTTGTGAAACCCAGCAATCTCGCAGACCAGCAAACTATCCAAAAGTTTTCAAGTCTGTTTTCTAAGGTAATTTAGATGCTTCAACCTGAGTCTCACTAAAGGTCAATGGGACTTAAGTTCCCAAGAGCATAACTCACTTTTTCAAATGTGACTTAAGCCCTTAAACCACTTGGGTGCATCTAGACTGGCAAGATTTTGCACAAAAGCAACCACTTTTGTGCAAAAACTTGCCAGCTGTCTATACTGGCCGCCTGAATTTCCGGAAAAGCACTGACAATCTCATGTAAAATCATCAGTGCTTTTCCGGAAAAACTATGCTGCTCCCGTTCAGAAAGATAGCTACAAAATAATTTACATACAGATCATATAGAGTGCTACCTACTGAGTCATTGATATTTCACTTAACCATTGAAAATTGCCATCCAGAGACCCATCTCCAAAAGTAATTTAGGCACATAGGAGCCTAAGGATAAAATTTCAAAAGAACTTAAGGGCTGCGTCTAGACTGACATGATTTTGCGGAAATACTTTTAACGGAAAAACTTTTCCGTTAAAAGTATTTCCGCAAAATCATGTCAGTCTAGACGCAGCCCTTAAGTTCTTTTGAAATTTTATCCTTAGGCTCCTATGTGCCTAAATTACTTTTGGAGATGGGTCTCTGGATGGCAATTTTCAATGGTTAAGTGAAATATCAATGACTCAGTAGGTAGCACTCTATATGATCTGTATGTAAATTATTTTGTAGCTATCTGAAACAATATGTATTTTGGTTAAAATTAATGAACATCAGTGACTTAGTCTTTCAGGGCATGTCTATACAGCAGGGCTAAACTCTAAATAAGCTACGCAACTTGAGCTATGTTAATTGCGTAGCTTAAGTCAAAACAGCTTATTTCGACTGTTGGCAGTCTCTAAACAGCAGTTATTTCGAAATAGAGCACTCTTCCCCCAACTTCCCTTACCCCATCAAATGAGGTTTACAGAAGTCCAAGTAAAAAGCCCGTTATTTCAAATTTATTTCAAAATAGCAGGCTTGCTGTGTAGACATGCACAACATTATTTCATAGTAACTGCCATTATTCTGAAATAATGCTGCTGTGTAGACATAGTCTCACATTATTGGGACTGCCAGTTGTTAGTTTTTGTTAAAAATGCTTCAGAGATGGATAGATTTTTGGGCCAGAATTTTTAAAACCTAGCAGCACCTATAATTAGCAGCTAGATATTCTGAAGAGTGTGAATCTTCTTATATACCTGAAAATATAGCTACTTATTTAGGTATCTGGATGGGAGCGGAATACTTTTGAAAAGCTGTGATTGCATATTTTAATAGATACTCTACGCCATCTTCTACAGCTAAGATTACGGAAAGATTTTTATAACACACTGCTTTAAGTTGTTCATAATTATCCAGGTTCCTGTATCTAGAGGTGAAATTGTTTTGGAAAGTTTGAACAAATTCTCTTTAGCCATAGAAATATAGAAAGTATATCTTTCCCTTTGTAAGTTACCATCTTATTTACTTATTTTCTGCAATCAAATCACAGCTACTTTATCATCTAAAATGTTCAAAAATGGCTTTAGTTCATGCAAGGCTAGGTCCTTTTATTATTTACAAAAGTACATACATAAGTGAAGATATAATTTTGTACAGTTCTCTAGAGATTACTGTATTGACTCTGACTCTCTTCAAAGGCTACAAGTGAATGGTCCCAAGACACAAGACTGACTAACAGATTTCACATAGCACAGTTAACTGGAAGTGCTGAGGTTACCCATAGGAAGGAGATCTCAAGGAAATTGCACTTTGAGCTAAAATCCCTTCTCTAACTCCTGAAGTATTATCATTTTTAAAAACCCATTGCGTGTGCTTTGGTAGAGACAGGCACTTTGCATGGGGCATCCTATACCCCCTTCCATGACTGGCTCTATCCACTGGCCAATGAGGAACATGGAGGCAGAGCCCTGGACAGAGTTCTCCTATGTAGATGCATGTAAAACACAAAATGGGACAGTTTTATCGTTAGGGAATGATAGAAAAACAGAACAATTGCATGATGTAAATTTCACTTTGGCAATTTGAGCTGGCATTCAACTTGAGAATCTCCTCTGGTTTTGTAATACATCTATATCAAATTGTAAGACTTTGATAAACCTCTCCATTTGAAACAAGTCCTCATATAGCCTCCTCTTACTGCACATTCCAGCTTGACCATCATTTACGTTATTTGTACCTCATTATCATGCAGTATCTCCGTTTATCTCCATGGAATTACTTCAGATTGACTATAACTTACAGCACAGTTTGAACCTTTGTGTGTGTACAGATACGCTTGAGTATGAATGGAGGAATGAGTCACCATTCATTAGGGCTTGTTTATTACTGATATTCTCTGCATCTTGCTTGCATTAGATGAGGGGGAAAAACACAGTAACCAAATTTCTGTAAAACAAATAATAATTCTGAACTGACCAATGCCCAAAAGGGTTCCTAAGGCATCCTTCATCAGCAGCATCCAGCTCTCCCTCCGCACACAGAAATGCAACCAGCATTTCAGGTCAAGCTTCCATTGATTTACTGAAGGACAAATAATGTCAGACAGTTCTTCTACCAAAACAAAATTTCAATTTTGTTTACTTCTTCAGCAGTCCAGCTTGATGTCAGCTACCATTTAGCTAGGCCAATAATATTGATATTTGATGTCAGTTCTTATTCATTACTGCACCCAAATGATACAAAAGCCAAATCTTTTAGATGTTTCCGTGGCTGGCCAAATAAAGCCTAGGCTGTCAGACTATAGCTGATAGACAGAAACCAGAAAAGAACAGAATACAAAATCAAACCTATATCTGCTGCTGTTGTTGTTTATGTATTCAGAGTGTTCAGTTCTTTGCATAAGCTCCAAGCCAGCCACTGATAAAGGTTACCTAGTAATATCAAATGTGTAATTAGACATGCAGAAGGGCTAATAGGTTCTTCTCTTGGTATATTGCTGTCTTCATACATAAGAAATATAATTGCAGAACAGGGTTGCATTCTAAATGCAGATATTAGTATTATTAGT